ATATATATGTATATATGAATATATATATATATATATATATAGATATATATATAGATATATGTATGTATAATAATACATATATATTCATGTATAATGTATATGTATATATATATGTATATATATATATATATATATATATATATATATATATATTTATATTATATATATATATATATATATAGATATATATATATATATATATATATGTATATATATATATATATATATAATATATATATATATATATATATATATATATATATATATATATATATATATATATATATATGCATATATATATTTATAAATTGTTTAATGTATAACTTTGTTTAAAGTTTAACATTGATGTTTTACATTTATATGTAAAATAAATAATTTATAACAACTTTGTTCAAGAAACCTCCGTGTGTTATCATATACACTGAGAAATCAATAAGCGTTCGTGATTACCCAATTAAGATCGTTCGTTATTTCCCTGCGACTCAAACAAATGAAAATATCTTAATATAATGAGGTAGTGTTAAGATACCTTTAATATAATACGTGTTAAAAACTCAATCATTATGATACTTTGCAACAACGTAATTTTTTTGGGGGTTGTTTACGTAGTTTAGCCAATGCATAAATGTTTCGCAAGTAAAAATTACATGAAACTAAGATAAAAACTTTAAATCAGTCTATCGTGAATAATTTGCGCATCATGCTACACTACTGCACGTTTGGAACTGAGCATGTAACCCACTCTTGCCAGAAAAAATAATATTAACAACTATCTTTTTCTAACATGACATAACAACCTTGTTTGGAGTTACCCCAAGTTCGCTATTACCCGACTCTCCCATACCACACTGTTCGTAAAAATTATGTTTTAGGATTGTTTTTGCAAATTCTTTTTCAAATTTCATTAGATGACCTCTTAGACTTCAGGAAAAAGCTTTATTAAGCTCTTTATACCATAAAATCTTATCAATCCAGTTGTTAATTTGAAAAACGCAATGATATCACCTCTTGTACGACTTAAATTGTGAGGCCCAACTTTATCAATATTTCAGTATAACTTTGAATTTTGGTCATTGATATTGTTTCTAGGTCATTGATATACTCTAGGTCATTGATATTGTATCTAGGCCATTGATATTGTTTCTAGGTCATTGATATACTCGGATTCTTCACAAAAACTTTGCTTTTTATGCTTATTACTCGGACTCCACACTGGAAGTGTGGAGTCCGAGTAATAAGCATAAAAAGCAAAGTTTTCTTCTAAAAACAGTTGTTGTTTTTAGAAGAAAACTTTGATTTTTATGCTTCATAGTGTAGTTATAGTTAATTTTTTTTTCCAATGTGCATAACACTGCATTTACTTATGTTAAAGTCCGTTAACTATGGTTAAAGGACTTTAACATATGACCATTTGACCATTCAATAAACAAATCAATGTCATTTTGCATAATAAATAGATCATTGTGTTCTTTTATAACAGATATGATTTTAGTATCATTAGCGTATAGTTTTGCAATTGAAGAGATACATTGGGAAAAATTATTGATATATAACAGAAAAAAAGGACCTAATACAGAGCTCTGTCGCATACCACTATAAACCTCGCACAAATCTAATACAACTTCACCCATTACCACTCTTTGTTTTCTGTTTTTTAAAAAAGAATCAATCCAATTTAAAACATTGCCATTTGTTCCATAGTTTGAAATTTTATGTGTAAAATGATAGTGGGGCACCTTATCGAACGCCTTTGCAAAATCTAGGAACAATATATCAACTGGATAACCACTTAATTATAATTAAGTAATTTACTTTAATTATTTACAAGTAAATTTAAAAAGTTAATTAAAAATGTCCAGCTTTTTATATGACTATCTTGACCTGAAGTTATGGCTATAAAAAAATAGTTAAAATCAAAACTTAAAGTTCATACAAGTACCTAACTATAATTTTTTTCATTAGTCCAAACATAAGTCTAAAATCATGTCTGGAAAATCAACGAGGAACAGAGATATAGGAAGAACATGGGAATCTGGTGCAATGAAAAGCTAGCAAAAAAAAGCAGCTAGCTAAAAAAGCAGTTAGAAAAAAAAGTTA